TGAGTTTTTTGTCCTGTGAGGCATTTGTCTTGCAAGGCACCACTGTACCTCTGTGTCCTCTGGACCTTCTGGAGTTCAAGTGGGCTAGAACCCTAGATGTGCTTGAAAGGCTAAAGAAAGTAATGCTAAGTCTAAATCCACACATAAAATATACTGTTATAAACTCAAACCAGGATAGCACATCCAAAATATCACACTGTTCTAAATAAATCAAAACTTTAAATCTTCCTGTGAGTTTCCAATATATGCATTTAGAAGAAACACGTGGAGATTGCAATGAAATGCTGCAGTGTCTTCACCAGCTAAGATGGGGGCTCCTACTCATGCTTCCTTCCAGCCATTCTCTCCAAGCAAGTTGTTCTTTAAGGTTTTCTCAACATCCTATGCTCATTGAGCAAGCTCAGCCCTTATTAGGTGGTTGGGACCATCAGATTGGTTTGATTTTTCAGCTGATTTTTTACTTCAGCAAATTTCAGGGTCCTCCATCCCAATCATGCTGCTTATTTATTCTAATTTCTCAGTGACTCCATTCTGGATAGAATCACCATGTGAGTTCACTATTGATGGAGCAAACACCCCAAAACCTACACTCTTCCAAGGCAGCATCACGAGATGCTTCAACTTTTCCTAACCTTATTGTCTTTTCATGATGTGCTCAAAGTTCAACAGCCTTAGTTTTGTCAGTGTTAAGAGACCTAATACAGGTCTCTTAAGATACTGACATTTGTTGATGGGCAGAAATGAAATACTGTATTGATCTCCAGAGTTTAAGCAACTTACAATGTACTGTATATAATAGTCTAAAGTAAATACAAAGAAATACAAACAAAAATGTAACAGTGGGAGCATCATCTACTCTTTTCAACCAAGAGTGGATTTTGCTGAATTTCAAATGCACAGCACATTCAAGATAGGGTGTTCACTCTCCTCGCCCCACACAACAGCCCACTGCATGTTCATGTATTTTCTGACTATGCAAGGGCGTATTCCCTACCTCCTTGTGCACACGAAAGCTCCCTTGTTTTCTCTAACCAGGACAATTTCTCAGATGGTCTGGTTTTTACCCTAATAATACAGCAATAATCACTGAGACTACAGTTCTGAAAAGAAACTTTTTTTGTCCTTGTGTCTCTGGAAGAACTAACATAATTAACTCCTAGTTATTTCTGATGAAATGTGAGTGCTACAAGCAACTGTTCTGTTGTATAAACCATACCTTACCCACATCTATGCTGTCATTCCCTCATCATCACCCATATGAGGTGCAGCATGACCCACCACGTGAACCAAATGATACTGTATATGTCTTCCCCACCATTTAGTTATGTTATACCCTGTAAGTACAAGAGTAACTGAGTTACAGTTCCTTTGCAGTATACTGTATTGCCTTCTACTAAAAGTTAACATTTATTAATATTCCTTCTATCAGAATTCCTAATGGTGCAGCCTAATTATGACTCTCCTGGGGTCAGGATAAATTTTTCACAAGTAGCTAGTTGTACCTGAGCTCTGATGTTGCTCCATATTCAGACTCTTGATTCCTTTCTTCACATCACTGTGGAGATCTAGCTTTCTATGTCCAAACTGAGTATGTCATCATATTCTATTTATTTAAAATGTTTTTCTCCAAGTTATTTTCCTTTGAAGCTCATAATCAGATCATGCTATTCCATCCCCTTTTGGAATCATTTCATTAGCTTTCCCCACACATATATTAGCCCATTTACAGCTATTAGCCGAAATCCTATCAGTTATGCCCACTGGCATAACACAAGGGGGTTAATTTTGGGCAGCAAATTGCCCCAATTTAGACGTTGGAGTAGGCATGTGACTCAGGGTGGAACATCAAATGTCTCTGCAACTACTTACGTAACTTGCAGCAACTCACAAATGAGATTTACATCAATTGTGCTACATGAGGGGATGTAATTACAGTAATAGAATTTTTTGTTTGTGATAGCCTTTTGTGAAGCAATATTTAGGAAGACTCATATTCCAGCTCATTTTCTAGTAAACTAGTCCTGCCTTTCATTTTTTTAAAAATGCTGATCTTCTGGAAAAGCAGGGCTTTCAGAAAAAAACCTCTACTTATGAAAAAATATTCCCTAACTTTTTCTTTAAACAAATTGCAAAAGCAACATATATATATCACTCTGCGAGTCTTCTCTTAGCCAAGATACTTAGGTCCTGCTACTCTGGATAGATGATTCAGAATAAAAGTTTTAAAAATGCTGAGAGCCTATTTTATTTTCATGCAAGACATAAACATACTTCCTTTATGTATGGACTAAGACCAACATTCAGATAGTGACAGAATAGGCTCTCAAATATGCTGGCACAGCGTATATAAATATACTAGGATACACTGGATCTGTGGAGAGCTTTTTCATTTGAAGACTTATAAAATGTACAACAGTATCTACCAAATATTTACAGCTTCAATACAGAATAACTTGAGTTTAGGACCACATCAGTTCAATGTCACAGTTATTCCAGTGAAGGGTTAATCAATCTGGTGTTCTCCAAATTTCTTACAGCTTTCATCAGCAAAGCCAGCTGGTCAGGATTTATGTAGTCCAGCCCATCAGAAGAGCACCAGTTTGGAACGGCTGTTCCAAATTACAAGACAAGACCAGCACTCCCTGTGTTGTCCAAGCCTTGATATCTGTTCAGTCTTAGCTTTAACAGCCATTCCAGCATAGACAGAAATTGCTCCCTTTCCATTCTGGTACACTTTTCTGGCAATCTACATTCAACCCACCTGACATGAATTCTCAAAGCAAGGCTGACTTGCTAGTTCTACACAGAAACTACTGTAGTATGAACAGTTTAAAAGCAATTTGCTAACAATAAGACTGCTTACCCTGTATTAACATTACTCCAGTTACTGTGAGGCAGAGTTGCAAAATATCAACTGAGTCAAGTATTATCATTGGAACATCTATTCTTTGATTGCAGTAAAATGTACAACAAATAAATTATGCATGAAGGGCTGGTCTGTTAGATAGGCTTGCTGACTATTTAGCACAACTGTCTTTTTCTTTCTTTTTAGACCTTCCCAGAAAGATCATCATGTCAAGTCTGCTGCAGCAGAACAATTTTGTACCTCCTTAAAGATTAACAAATCTGAAAGGTTATGCCATAATTTATTAGGTTTTAGGTGCCACACAACTGCATTGCTGTTTCTTAATATTTTTGTTAAAAATAAATAAGTTTGCAAGGGTAGGCTGACAAGTCAAAGTGAAGAACTGCTCACTGAATCATTCACAACTGCAGGAAATATAGACTATCCTCCATCGAGGTAGACTATACATCAGCCTCCCCCTTTTCAGATTGCTGCATTTTCATGATTCAAGTGTTGACAGAAGCCAGCATGCCCCTTTCATTGTATATGTGCTCCACATACTTTAAGCACATCGGCATAGGGTTATAGCTAAAAGGTAATTAAGTGCCATTTTTTATAAATTTAGAATTAATGTCTTACAGCAAAGCATAATTGTGCAACTTGCTGATGAATAGTATACTGTATTCTGTTAATCTTTTAAAAATATATGTATGACTAGTTGACCGAATCTTTGATTATACCCAACACTGTCCTTGTCCTATCTATATCTACACACACACACACACACACACAAAATGAAATTAAACTGCATTTTATTCACACACACAAACACACACACATACACAAAATGAAATTAAACTGCATTTTATGGTTTAATCCTGATTATATTGAGGAGTGATATTTTGGTATCAGGTTTACATCAACTTAGCACAAAATTATGTTGTTCCTTCACATCTCCTGAAATGGTACTTTCTCTCTAGCCAATACAAACAAGTGTTTATATTCCACTCCATCCCCATCATGAGATTTCATATGTGAATAGGAATTCAAACCCAAGTTTCCTGAGTCCTAATCTACTACACTATATCACACTGGTACAAACAAAGGACCACACAACTTTTGCTCTATCTTTCCTGATCCAGCAAAATACATTTCTCTAAACAGTTGAGCATTGTTGAATATACTCTGTGTGTTGATTTGGTCACAACTGTTATGTGCTATAGCACAACAGGGATTCGAATCCAGACTTTCTGAGTCTTTAGTTCATTTATCTGACCACTACACCACACTGAATTTGGGCACAATACAGCTGCATTAAATCTCTTGTAGCACAAATAAGATATTGGTGACATCATGAAGACTATGTTTTATTTATTATATGCAAGCTGACTGGAAAAAGTGTTATACTAATATGCTCCATTTTACTGAGGCTGGTATGGAAACCACCCCTTTTACAGTTCACTTAACACAAATGATAAAATACGACCCATAACAATGGAAACTAATGCTCCACTAAACCAAGTTACTTCGCAAAAAGTCTGTATATATTTTTTTTCTATTTCATTTTATCACAAACAAGTGAATCCTAACCATGCCTGCTCAATAGTTCAATTCAATTCAGCATTGTTGAATATACTCTGTGTGTTGATTTATATATGTTTTCTATTTCTCTTTATCACAAACAAGTGAATCCTAACTATGCCTGCTCAATAGTTCAATTCAATTCATTGGGGTACACTTGAGAGTAAATGTGTAAAGCACTGCAACATTTATTTTGAAAATTTGGTATATGGCAGCTCATTATTCCAGGCTTCCAAAGGATAAATGTACACCCAGGGAATCAATAAGATTCATATATACACACTGGCTTACAAAGTTCCAGTCAGTCAGTGGGTGTAGTCTAGCTGGCACTAGCAATTGGATTTAACCCTAAATAACTGCATTGATTGGAAATGTTTCAAGTTTTGGAAGACAGCAGCTCAAACATTATCATGCACTGGCTGAAATCCAGTCACAACTAGAGTAGATCCACTGAATCTATAGAACACACAGAGGAGCAGACTCACCGATTCAGCGGGTCTACTCTAGTTGTGACTTATTGCTGAATGTCAGCCACTGAATTTAATGTATGAACCACACACTAAAGCCGAAACTCCCTCTGGAGCCACCAGAGGCGGCAAGATTTTTCAAGAGCTTCTTGAGGGCAAGGTCACATTCTGGGCGGGAGGTTCAAGTAAGGTAAACACAGGGCGTCAGGATTTCTGTCTGGCTCCCGCCAGTTCTTCGCCAACCGTCCAGAAGCCATTGCAAGGCCCCACGTCCGCACCCGACCCAAGGACACACTCCTTCCCGCGCGGCCATCCCGAGCGGCAGGCAGCCGACCATGCCGGGCGCTCCCTCTAGAGGCAACCCTCGCGCGCCCTGACATGGAGCGGGGTTCAAGGGAGGATATTTTTAAAAGATGACCCGGAAGGCGTGGAAATCAACTTGGGCATGAGCTTGAGGGACGTCTGCGCTCGACTGAACACGCGTGAACAAGCTCGTTTGTTTTGGGGCAGAAGCAGGCGGGAAACGAACAGACCCCGGCTACCCTTGAAAGCAAAAGGGCGCGTTTTTCTCAACCACTGCAACCGTCCCCGGACAAACTGCACAGGAATCGAGAACATGAGAAGGGAATCCCCTCCACTCTCTCCAAAGATGGCGAGGAGGCACCCTTGCCCAAGAGGGCAGGCAGAATCCCCGGAGACTGGCTTCAGGAAAGCCTCTTGAAACAAAGCCTGCACATGGAGGGGAAGTTAAAAATCCAAGTTTGGGGGGGGGGCGGCGGAGAAGAAAAAATTGAACCACAAAGCCAAACCCATGGAGTGAAACGAGAAGGCGAGTTTCCAGGAAAGGGCATGACTTAGCAGGGGCACGGAGATATTCTCTGCCCATCGTGAGGAAAGAACGCACAGCACAAGCCTAGGCATTTAAACTCGGAAGTCCCATTGAGTTCAATACGATCTACTCCTCGGGTTAGGTCCTTACGACTGCAACCTTAATTGCATAACCCCTTGCCTCCTAATTTTGGTTAGGAGGTTTGGGCCGGCCTCCGAGTATGGGTTCTCCAGAATTGAGCACAGTTTTGGAAAGGGGGGGGGCGTTATTAAGTCTGGATAATCCGCATTCCCTGGAGAAACCAATTTACAGACTTCGGAAGTTTCCTCGCACTCACCTTTACTCGTTGGGCAAAGGCCTGGAGCTCACCCCCAGCCAAGTCTAAACAGCCGCTGGTCGCTCCTTTCCGTGGTCTCTCCGCAAGGCTGTTTCCTGGGCATTTAAATGCTAGAGCAGGAAGCGAAGCGACCTCCACTTTCTCAGCTGTGTCCCACATTCAGACTGGAACCGGTTTCAGATCTGGAGTGAACCAATTGGAGTCGCTCTGACTTGCGTGTGAAAGGGTCCCGGCCCCTCCCCTCCTCCCCATCAGGAAATGGTTCATCCCCAAGGGCTCTTGTATCAAAGATGAAGAGAGTGCAGATTCAAGGGTCAGTTTCAAAGCTAAAGTGATCATTGCTGCTGTCTAAGAAACATCAGGACCTCTTAAAGATACAAGCACCTTTCCTGTGCCCAGGAGTTATCATCACACTTTTTGGAACTTGAGCAAGGAAACAATCACTGCCACAAGGATGGAGAAAGCCAAAATTTAGCAGAAGGGCAAGAGGAATAAATTACGCCTGTAGGTGAAAAGCATATAGCAAAGAAATTGGTCTAGAGACACAGTACTTCTTTCGCTCCTGTTGTTTCTGTTGTTGTTGAGAAAGAGAAGGAACTGACCACAAACTTAAGGTGTATTCTAGCTCAGCACACACATATTCATACCAGCATGCTCATCCTTTCTCTTTCCTTATTGGGTTGTTGTTGTTTTAGTTCATGGAACAGACTAGTTCCATGTATAGTGAACAGAATAGTGAACAATATTAGCACAGTCCTAATTTCTCCAGCTTCTGCTGTACTGGTGCCATCAAGGGAGGGGAAAATGTCCAGAGCTCTACTCTGCAGGATAAGCAGAAGGCCTCACTACCCCCAATACAGCAGAGTGGACTTACTACATTTTGATGTAAGTAAAGCAATCCACTTTACTATAGGACCATCAGTCTAAGATTACCCAAATGCACTGCCCAGCATGGTTTAAAGCAGAAGCTCAGCAACGCAACAGAACAGATGTGGCTAGGGTCTAACTCTTTGAATTGATGGAGGATATGGTTTTTCTTTTTAAAGATGGAGCACACAGTAAGATTTTCCTGCACCATCCAAGGATTTCACAGATATTTGTTGATTTCAAGCCTGATCTCTCTGGTTCAAGTTATGAAAATAACAAAGTTGCAGGACCAATGTTGCATTACAGAAACATATACAATACTAACGCTCCACATTTACATTTTGGTTAGTTTCTTCACTTTTCTTGTGAGTAACTGTAGAAGCCCTACAGCTGGGAAAAAAGTACAATTTGGGCACAGATCAAGCTGGAACAAGAGTTTCCTGTCATGTGATTGCTGGGAACTAGATCACACCAGACCACTCCATAAGCAGTGCAAATTGCAATCTATTTCCCCATGTGGTCACACTGTAAAACTCCCATCATTCCTAGCTAGCCTCATGATAACATAGTCATCAAAAACCTTTGGAGAGCTTCAGGTTGGAGAAGTCGGACACAGAATGTGGCTTAGTTTAGCACCCCAGGCTGTATCTATGAAAGGGTTCCCAGTGTGGGGTAGTGGACAGAGTAATGAACCAGGACTCTGGAAAACAGAGTTCAGATCCCTGCTTAGTCAGGTAAACTGACTGGGGAATTGGAACTGGTAAAACTACTCCTTAAATATCTCACTTGCCTTGAAAACATTTCTAGGGTTGCTATGAGTCATGACAGCACGTAACAACACCAATACTGTATCTGTGAGGGCATTACTGGACTGGTAAATTAATGCTAGTTTAGCACAGACCATGCTAGACTTGAATCTATGTCTAGTTATGGTCTCACAAGGTAACCTGGAACCAATCTGCATAAGACTTAGAAATGTAAAATATTAATACTTAACTTTCGTGCAAAGTTATGCAATATAAGGCTTTCAAAACACTCTGTAACTGAAATTAAACCACGTCTTATTGAAACCAGAAATGCAATATTTTAAAATCTGTGGAGATAGAATCTGGTATCAGGCTTGTAAAAACTACGTTTTCAGGCTACAACTTCCAGGATGAGAGTATTTTGAGAGTTGTAATCTGAAAACTAACTTTTCCTAATCCTAAAATCACAACAAACATTCAGACAGATTGTTCAGTGAAATGGTATCATTACAGAAAATGTGTGTGAGAGAGTTACTGTCATTTTAAATCACTAACGAAGAGGCAGTGCCAACACTGGGCCTCAGTGGAAGGTTATGGTGTGTTCTGCATGCTGAAAAAGACAAACTGTATTCACTAGCAAGAATACTGCTGAGTCAGCTAGGTCGTTAATCTAGGAGCTGGAGACGACACACACTGCAGTCAATTCTGCTAAGATGATGTGTAGGTGCACAAAGATTTCATCAATAAACAAGTCCTTAATATTTTTCTATCATTAATGCTTATCTGACTTTCCTGGGATTTAGTTGATGAGACATAGACTTGATTTTTTTTTAATCATTTGATTTTGAGGAACTGGATTGCAACATGTGATGGGCTGATATATGAACAGTTAAATGTGACAAAGGAAGTTAAGCTAAAATATTGTATGGTTTTGATATAATGTGCAGTCTGTATCTCAAATTAATGGTAGCTTGATTTCTGCAATTGGCCTTCATTTTCCCTTAATTTTTTCCTGCAAATAAGATTATACTGGGTCATTTGTGCGGATTTATATAGCATTCCTATAGATCTTTAGAGGTTTTCACTATAAGTAAAAACTGATAGTAAAAGAACAGCATCTCATGAGTTCACTAGAAGCCCTCATGTATGGCAAAATGTTATTATTTCTTCATTTATGAGCACCAGGCACAACTGCTTCACTTGGCTCCTTTCGCTACATTTGATTTTTTTAAAAAACAACCCACTGTTGGTAGGTTTAACTAAGAATACTGCCTTAGACCCAACATACTGAGTACGTTTTCTGACTACCCAGAGATTTGAAATTGAATCTTCCTCTTACAAATCCAACACTGTTACAGAGTAGTAGCACTGTCTGATAGTAGTTACTCTATAAATTATACAAATGCTAGAGTAGGCAATGCCTTTATAGATCACTGAAACAATCACCATATAATCCGTCAGCTTTTGTGGATCAGGACCATCCACTTAATCAGTCATGTACCAGTGTGAAGAACTCAAAAGTCAAAATGTTCATGGCATGATGGATTTCGCTAAGCATACATCTTTCTTAGATGTAAGTCAGGAAAGTTGCTGGCTGCATTAGAGCTGTTATTTTAAAGTTACAGTTGAGGCAGCTGTGGATTGGATATCACACTCCAGTTCTTCAAACAAAGAGGCATACTGAGATACACCTGATGAAGTTGATAGTCCTGATCCAATAAAGCTCGCAGATTGTATGACAATTGCTATAGTCGTCTATAAAGGTATCGCCTACTCTTGCGTTTGTATTTTGTATTGACCACACAACTCCCTTTTCTTTCTATAAATTATGCCACTTCTGAAACTTACTGGTAGGGGGAGAAAAGGGAACAATGAATGCTTAATTAACATGATATGAAAACTCCATATTAAGTAGCCTAGCATGCAAATTTGCATGTTATGCAAATGAACTGCTTGTTCTGCATATTATGCAAAATAAGGTGCCAGATATGGAGAACTGAAATGGGGCAATCCAACTGAGTATGCACGCAGAAATGTAACCAATACTTCACTAATGGGCAGGAATTTGCCACTAAGACTTAACATGATTTCCTTTTATGCAAGAGAAAATCAGCAATATGATTGGCCAGTGAACCCTAATTGTTAATTCAGGATGAAATAATCCCTAAATACTCTGTATTACAAGAGGATTAGCTCAGGACAAATCCATTTCCCAACTCAGCAACTGTGAGGATTGCAGCTAAATTATAACTGGGAACTAGGAAGGCTGAGGGCATATGGTTGCATGGTACAGTATATGCTTAACAAAAAGTTGGTGTGATTTGGTCATGGGAGCCCAGAGCTAACTACCTTCATCACGCCTGCCATGTGTGCGTTTTTGCAAGGATAACTGGTCACTGTACGATTCATATTAAGGTTTGGGAGATGTAGTTTTCTATAAAAATCTGGAAAGCTGAGATGTCCTACAATAAAGCTTAATACACCTATCTCATTTGATTTTGGAAGCTAAGCAGATTCAGGCCTTGTTAATACTTAGATGCAAAGCCAACAGGTAATGCGAGAAATCTCCAGGTACAGCTAGGAAAGAATATTGCCTGGAGCACTGCTGTCTGAGTTAGCAATACTAGGCCGGATTGACCAAAGGTGTGATTCAATATAAGGCAGCTTCTTGTGTTCCTACACAGAGGTTTTAAAAACAACTCCAATGTTACAATGCAATGTTAAGATAACTACATGATGACTACATGTCTACTCAGAAGTAAGTCCTATCAGATCAGGATATCCATTGAATTAATCCTTTCAGCTTAAGAAGCAGTGCTTGGGTGCTTGGACAATTAAATCGGTTATTTATTTACATCACCATGATTGTTTGGTTGACAGCATAGAGATCAAAAGCCTGTTTAGAAACTGCTGTAAACTAGCCCCATCTTTACTTTTTCTAGTAAGGAAAAGATGGGCTATCACTCTAGACAGCAAGGTCCTGGTTTTGGCGGATCGATAAGGAAACAGCTGCTAAAGGCTGATCACATTACAATGTTTTAGACACTTCCATTTAGACAAGAGCATCCCATCTATATTCAGAAAGTCAAGTGTGGCAATTACTACTAACAGACGTTTGAAATACATAGTTGCATTGCAAATTGTCAGTCACTAGGTGCTGATAATTAATTCCTTTATTTGGTAATGAAGGTATATTACAGTGTTCATTAAACTAGTATTAACTTTGATGACAATGTGACTATAGTTATTTTTATAGTTGCAGGATGATGGCCTCACTAACTGGTGGGGGAGGAATATCACAAGGTTCATATGCTGGCTCTTGATCTGCCTCGTTTCTTTTGTGGATGCTGAGGAGCCCACAGGCCAGCAGCTTATAGTATTAGCTATGTTTTTCCCAAGAGACTAAGAATAACAGGTTACTTTTCTGAAATGGGAAACTGAAGAGAAACTTTTACATCTACAATGATAACAGGAACTAATTGGGGGTGGTGGTGTCAGGACTTTTAACTGTAACCACTTGTAAAAACTTTTTTAAAGTAACTTTTGGTGTCTTATCTGTTCCTATATGAAATTATGCTTTCCTTCCTACTTCTGTACTCAAGTGTATTTTCAACAGAAGCAAAACTAAGTTTAGGGATCTGGGCAAGACCAGTTGACTAGATA